TAGCACTGTCCTGCAAGTGCTGAAATCTCTTGGTGGCTTCCTATACCTGCCTAGAGGAGCTGCTGCTGTGTCTTTGGAAATCCATCCCTCAAGCAGCCTACACCAAAAAAACTGGCAAGCTTCACTCTCACAGACTGCTGCTGAGCTCCCTGGTATCCCTAAGATGGCTCAAGGAGCTCCACGGCACAGTGCTTTGTGCTCAGCAATGGGAGTAAAGAATGCTCTTTACTGTGACAACGGCTTCTACCATTGCAGGGTGTCAGTCTAAGAAATGTCCACGGGGGGTCCAGGTGTTATAGTGGAGGCATCAGGGGTCTAATAGACCTTCAATATCTTCATAGAGAGTATCTCTCAGCAATAATAGATAAATACATATTACTCCTCTTCTGTACATACTGTGTGCAACAGTCACACCCTCTGCACTCTATATACTGCCCCATGTCAGACCTTCTACACTCCTCTCCTGCACTGTCTCATGCCAAACTCTTCATGTTCCTCTTCTGTACTTACACTCCACAGTCCTTTTCTTTATTTACAACCTGCTGTAATACCCTCCCCAATCCTCTCTGTTACCTGCTCCCAAACCCTCTGCACTCTTCTCATATACATACTGTCTTATATCATACCTCCCTCCCTCCTTTAATACTCTCCACACTCTTCTTTTTCCTTCTTTAAAGCCTGTCTTGGGTGCGCAAAAAAATAAGCACCTGTAAGTGAACAAAAAAGTGCATGTGAACACACAAAAATATGCACTCAGGGCATGTCTCTGGTCCACCTCCCGAAGAAGTAGGACACTTCCCTGACCCCCTGTGGCACAAGGCTGCTGACGGGGCTAAGGCACAGTCAGGTCCACCTAGTCAAAAGGCCTGGTTGACCCCTCTCCTCATGATCAGCCAAAGCCAAACACTGAATACTAGTTGGGAAACTCTCCTGAACAGAGACCCCCCCTGAAGGAACCTGGCCACAGATCCTCCCCCTAGACCTCAGGAGAGGCCTGAGGATCCACACCCTCCATCCTGAGTGAAAAGGGAACACATATACAGTTGCAAGAAAAAGTATGTGAACCCCTTGGGATTACGTGGGGTTTTGCATGAATTGGGCATAAAATGTGCTCTGAACGTCGTCTAAGTCACAACAATAGAAGAACACAGTTTGCTGAACATAATACTACACAAACATTAGATGTTGCCATGGTTTAATTGCACATAACATGTAAACATTCACAGTGCAGGGAGGAAAAAGTATGTGAACCTTTGGACTTAATAACTGGTTGACCCTCCTTTGGCAGCAATAACCTCAACCAAACGTTTCCTGTAGTTGCAGATCAGACCTGCACAACGATCTGGAGTAATTTTGGACCACTCCTCTTCACAAAACTGTTTCAGTGTAGCAATATTCTTGGGATGTCTGGTGTGTGAATCGCTCTCTTAAGGTCATGCCACAGCATTTCAATTGGGTTGAGGTCAGGACTCTGACTGGGCCACTCCAGAAGGCGTATTCTGTGCTGTTGCAGCCATTGTTTTGTTGAATTACTTGTATGCTTTGGGTCATTGTCTTCTTGCATCACCCATCCTCTGCGGAGCTTCAGTTGGCGGACAGATGGTCGTACGTTTTCCTGCAAAATGTCTTGATAAACTCTGGAATTCATTTTCTTGTCAATGACAACAATCCGTCCAGGCCCTGAGGCAGCAAAGCAGCCCCAAACCATGATGCTCCCTCCGCCATGTTTTACAGTGGGGATGAGGTTTTGATGTTGGTGTGCTGTGCCTTTTTTTCTCCACACATAGTGTTGTGTGTTCTTCCCAAACAACTCAATCTTGGTTTCATCTGTCCACAGTATATTTTGCCAGTAGTGCTGTGGAACATCCAGGTGCTCTTTTGCAAACTTCAAACGTGCTGCAATATTCTTTTTGGACAGCAATGGCTTCCTCCGTGGTGTCCTCCCATGTACTCCATTCTTGTTTAATGTTTTCCTTATTGTAGATGTGTCAACAAAATGTTAGCATGTGCCAGAGATTTCTGTAGGTCTTTAGCTGACACTCGGGGATTCTTCTTTACCTCATGCAGCATTCTGCGCTGTGCTCTTGCAGTCATTTTTACAGGACGACCACGCCTAGGGGAGAGTAGCAACAGTGCTAAACTTTCTCCATTTGTAGACAGTCTGTCTTACCGTGGACACATGAACATCAAGGCTTTTGGAGATACTTTTGTAACCCTTTCCAGCTTCATGCAAGTCAACAATTCATGATCGTAGGTCTTCTGAGAGCTCTTTTCTGCGAGGCATGATTCACATCAGACAGTGCTTCTTGAAACCAGTAAACCCAAAACAGGTGTGTGTGTTTTTTTAAGGGCAGGACAGCTGTCAGCAACACATCCAATATCATCACACTGATTGGAGTCAAGGTTGGCTCACTCCTGGCTCCAATTAGCTCTGGGAGAAGTCATTAAGCTAGGGCCTCACATACTTTTTCCTCCCTGCACTGTGAATGTTTACATGTTATGTGCAATTAAACCATGGCAACATCTAATGTTTGTGTAGTATTATGTTCAGCAGACTGTGTTCTTCTATTGTTGTGACTTAGATGACGTACAGAGCACATTTTATGCCCAATTCATGCAAAACTCCACGTAATCCCAAGGGGTTCACATACTTTTTCTTGCAACTGTAAGTGTAAATTGACACAGGCATGGAGAGCAAATAAACACGCAAACAAAAAACAAAGAAAAGTATCAGTGCAGATGCATTGGCAAGGCCTTGCCAGTCTGGTGACAAAAATTGCCCCAATCTCAGCCAAAAGGCCTAGCCCATGAGGCGTAGTGCAGTGGTCTAATGTTCAGTCTTACAACGGGATCCCAAACCCAGAGTGATACTAACGGTACCCCTAGGGCGCCACTCCCAGGGGGTGCTTAACACCACAAGCTATCTGTCTTCCCAGCCCCTGGCCAGAAAAGGCAGCACTGCTCAAATCAGGAGGCACTGGGCCCCTTGGAACCCTCCACACCAGGAAAGTACTACTGACCCACACCAACTGTTGCTAGTAACAATAATAATAATGCACCTTTCACCCATAAAATCAGTCACTGAGCTCCAGTCAAGTGATGACCTTGGCAGGCAAGCTTAGTCTGGAAGAGTGATGTGATCAGACTGCTGCAATTCCTCAGTTTCTTCTCACTCCATGATTATGCTGTAACTGTGACCCAACCGGGACAGGGGCTTTTGGAGGGGACTGCAGACTAGCCTCTTGCCTACTGACTATGGGCCCTGGCGTTTGAGGGGGCTCTATTCTTTGGGAGTTGTGTGCCTGAGGAAGTTTGGAGTAGGTTTACTTTTGGATTCAAGTCCACACAGACTCTGAGAACTTGAAGACCCGGATACAAATTTGGGGCCTCTGTGCCCAAACCAGCATTGACTGCTTCAACCCCCTCCTAGACTCAGAGACTCAAAGCAGAAGATTATAATCAGCTCAAAACAACCTGATGTCGGGGTCTCTTGCTGTAATCTGTTTATTAAGATATTATGTGTTTACGGTGTATTTGTCCCATTATTAATTGAGTTAAATAATCATTTATAGTTTCTGTCTGTTGGCTAGTCCTCCTGGAGGTTCCTACATGATGCGATTAATCTTGTTTCAACTTTATCTCATTACCTAATCAGCATGGGATGTTTATCCCAATGTGTAATATTTGTGTGTATTGTTCACATGGGGACTGCCCCTGATGCTGGGGTCTCCCGCTGTTATGTGTAATCTCTATTAACCAGTTGCTGCCTGGCCTACTGTCAAATGATGGTCGGGCGAACACCCTTTCCCTTCGGGAGGACGTCATATGACATTCTTCCCGGATTGCTTTGTGCGTGCCTGCAGGGCCGGCCGCTCTGTGGCAATATCTGTCACTGGCTGTGTACCTCAGACACGGCCAATGACAGATCTGTGTACCGGCTCCATTGCCAGTAGCATGTGACCTGCTGTGACCAATCACAGCAGGTCACATGACAGTTGTATGCAATGGATGGCTTCCTTTCATGCCATCCATTGTATCCAAATATGTCTAGCTGTGAATGGTCACATTGATCACATGCACAGGCTGGGCCAATCACAGCCCATCTGTGTCATGTAATTAGCCGTGGCCAATCACAGCTAATCACTACAAAAAAACCTGAATGAATCGATTTCATTCAGTGAAATTATTTGCTATATGCAATCAAATTATGTAAAAAAAATTAAATAAATAATGATCACTTCCCCAAAGTAGTACAATGTTACTATGGTACTTTGGTCATAGTGTAATATGAAAAAAAAATCTTAAAAAAGAGAAAAAAAATTAATAAAAAATAAACAAAATAAAATATTTTAAAAAATTAAAAAAAAAAAGATCAATTTTTTTTTTTTCGTACTGTCACCAGTCAGTGTCCCTGATCACCGCCACTTATATGATGACACTGTACTGTACTGGTGACAGTACGTAAAAAAGTTCCGTATTTTCCAGCGTATAAGACGACTTTTTATCCCATGAAAATCTTCTCAAAAGTCAGCGGTCGTCTTATACGCCGGTGTACGGTGTCGGGGGCGGCACTTTTTAGGGAGGCGGAGGCCCCTTCAATGGAAGGGACACTAAGTACAGGGGCGGGAAGGGGGCTGCTGTTTCTTACCTGGCTCCGGTCCCAGTCCCACGACGATCCAGTCCAGGAAGCGCGGCTGCTCCTTCATTCAGTTTCGGCCGCTCCCTCACTCGATGTTCGCACGGGCCGCTCGGCTCCGCCTCCTCACCGGTGATTGGGCGCCAGAACTGTAGCTCAGGAAAGGCACACAGGCGGCCAATCACCTGCGAGGAAGCGGAGCCGAGCGGCCCCGCGAACATCGAGTGAGGGAGCAGCTGGTAACTGTGCCGTGCAGATGGTACTGCTGCAACCACGTATGCTGGCTGCAGCAGCACCATGCTGGAACAGGGGTCAGAAAGTGACATTGGTGTCAGTGGGAGGAATAGTGCCCCATCATTGGTGTCACTGATACTAATGATGGGGAATTATTCCTCCCACTGACACCAACGATGGGGCACTATTCCTCCCCCCACTGAAACCAACGATGGGGCACTATTCCTCCTCCCCCCCCCCACTGACACCAACAATGGGGCACTATTCCTCCCCCCCACTGACACCAATGATGGGGCACTATTCCACCCCCCCATTGACACCAATGATGGAACACTATTCCCTCCCCCACTGACACCAATGATGGGGTACTATTCCTCCCACTGACAACAATGTTGGGACACTATTCCTCCCACTGACACCAAAGACGGGGCACGATTCCTCCCACTGACACCAAAGATGGGGCACTATTCCTCCCACTGATATCAATGATGGGGCACGATTCCTCACTCTGACACCAATGATGGGGCACTATTCCTCCCACTGACACCAAAGATGGGGCACTATTCCTCCCACTGATACCAATGATGGGGCACTATTCCTCCAACTGATACCAATGATGGGGCGCTATTCCTGCCACTGATACCAATGATGGGGCAGGATTCCTCCCACTGACACCAATGATGGGGTGCTATTCCTCCCACTGACACCAATGATGGGGCATGATTCCTCGCTCTGACACCAATGATGGGGCACTATTCCTCCCACTGACACCAATGATGGGACACCATTCCTTCCACTGACACCAATGATGGGACACTATTCCTCCCACTGATACCAATGATGGGGCACTATTCCTCCCACTGACACCAATGATGGGGCAGGATTCTTCCCACTGACACCAATGATGAGGCACTATTTCTCCCCCTGACACTGATGGAGTACTATTCCTCCCACTGACACTAATGATGGGACACTATTCCTCACACACTGACACTAATGATGGGGCACCATCATTGGTGTCAGTGGGAGGAATAGTGTCCCATTATTGGTGTCAGTGGGAGGAATAGTGCCCCATTATTGGTGTCAGAGCAAGGAATCGTGCCCCATCATTGGTGTCAGTGGGAGGAATAGCACCCATCATTGGTATCAGTGGGAGGAAATGCCCCATCATTGGAGGCAAGGAATTGTGCCCCATCATTGGTGTCAGAGCAAGGAATTGTGCCCCATCATTGGTGTCAGTGGGAGGAATAGCACCCCATCATTGGAATACCATACTGAAATACCGTACCATATTGAAATCAAATCTGATGTTTTTTAATTTTTATTTGGTGTGCGTTGGAAGAGGGGTAGTCTTATACGGCGAGTATAGCCCAAACCCTATATTTTAACAGGAAAAGTAGGGGGTCATCTTATACGCCAGAAAATACAGTATTGTGAAAATATTTTTGTTAATTTCTTCATTTTTCCAAAAAATTATGACAAAAAAATTACAACTTCAAAAAACTCACCATGCCTCTTATGAAATACGTCAGACTGTCTACTTTGCAAAAAGGGTCATTTGGGGGATATCTGTACTGTCCTGACATTTGGGGGATATCTGTACGTTCTGACATTGGGGGAATATCTGTACCGTTCTGACATTTGGGGGGATATCTGTCCTGTTCTGACATTTGAGGGATATCTGTACTGTTCTGACATTTGGGGGATATCTGTACCATTCTGACATTTGGGGGATATCTGTACTGTCCTGACATTTGGGGGATATCTGTACCGCGCCCTGACATTCTTGGACCTCAAGAAATTAGAAATGAGTGGCCGTCAGTACTTCAGGATTGATCAATTTTCAGATATATCCCATAGTTTGTGAACTCTATAACTTTCCTACAGACTAAATATTAAACACTAATTTGGATTATTTTCACCAAGGAAATGTAGCAGAATACATCTCGGCCTAAATTTATGAAGAAGTTGTGTGAACAAAATGATTCAATTTTAGTTTGGGTACAGTGTTGCATGACCGCGTAATTGTCATTCAAAGTGTGAGAGCGCTGAAACCTGAAAATTGGCCTGGGCAGGAAGGGGGTAAAAGTGCCTGGTATGGAAGTGGTTAAGGTGTTACGTGTACCCATGTTTGCCTATCCTGTCTAGGTGTGAAGTGTCTTTTTCCTATTGTGTAATTTCCCCATTGTGTACCTCCTAGATGTGAATTCCCATTGTTAATTGAGTAACTTTTTGTTTCTGTCTTTTTGCTAATCCTCCTGGAGATTCCTACAGGATGTGATTTGTCTGATGTCAACTTTACCTTGTTACCCAACCATTGTGGGATGTTTAGCCCAATGTGTAATATTTGTTTTTATTGTTCATAGGGACTGTCCCTATTTTTCAAGTGTATAAAAATCGGTATTTCTCGTCATAAAGTTCTTCCTTTGGATTTTACCTCAACATCTTGTCTGTGTATGATGCTTGGGGTAAAGGGCTGGTATGAGCTATCAGTCTGTTGGAAGGGATTGGATGGCAGGAGCCACTGTTTGGCGGAGGCACCCAGGTAGGGTGCCAGGCGGTCCATCACTGTAACTTTGAAGCTTGTCACATGGGGGTTGATAACATATAAAAACACAGCCGAGAACAAAAACATTACCAGATAGGTGCTAAGATTTACTTATCATGTCAGGGACAGATTTTAATATTGTATTTCATTTACTGCACATACTGTATCCTATATTTTTCAAGTAATCTAGGGTGTAAAATCCAAAGATCTTTTACTTGAAGGGAGCAGAGATCCACTTAATGAGTGGCTGTGTATATTATGTTTTATACATGATCATTTATGATACACAGTTCTTTTTAAACCTTTTTTAATTGAGTGGGTGTTGGGATGTGTGAGCATTTGAAGGGTTTGTTATCTTGCAGTAAAACTTGCATACTTGTGTTTATTGTGAGTTTTCACATAGTTGTATCATTATATTCTCACAGTAGTTACATAATGACATTTTTTAATTACTATGAACATATCCACACCATCTTGTGCTTAAAATGCAAATTGCAACGTAGGTACATTTAGTGGTGTTTACGACCTCTCTAGGCATTTACATACAGTATACAATAGAACCTATATACAGTGCCTTGAAAAAGTGTTCACACCCCTTAAAATTTTCCACATGTTGTCATGTTACAACCAAAAACGTAAATGTATTTTTATTGGGATTTTATGTGATAGTCCAACACAAAGTGGCACATAATTGTGAAGTGGAAGGAAAATGATACATGGCTTCAAAATTTTTTACAAATAAATATTTGAAAAGTGTGGCGGGAATTTGTATTCAGCCCCCTTTACTCTGATACTCCTAACTAAAATCTAGTGGAACCAATTGCCTTCAGAAGTCACCTGATTAGTCCAACTGTGTGTAATTTAATCTCAGTATACTGTAAATACAGCTGTGCTGTGAAGCCCCCAGAGGTTTGTTAGAGAACATTAGTGAACAAACAGCATCTTGAAGGCCAAGGAACACACCAAACAGGTCAGGGATAAAGTTGTGGAGAAGTTTAAAGCAGGGTTGGGTTATTAAAAAAATCCCATTTGACCATCTCACGGAGCACTGTTCAATCCATCATCCAAAAATGGAAAGAGTATGGCACAACTGCAAACCTACCAACACATGGCCATCCACCTAAACTGACAGGCCGGGTAAGGAGAGCATTCATCAGAGAAGCAGCCAAGAGGCCCATGGGAACTCTGGAGGAGCTGCAGAGATCCACAGCTCAGGGGGGAGAATCTGTCCACAGGACAACTATTAGTCGTGCACTCCACAAATCTGACCTTTATGTTAGAGTGGCAAGAAGAAAGCCATTGTTGGAGGAAAGCCATAAGAAGTCCCTTTTGCAGTTTGTAAGAAGCCATGTGGGGGACACAGCAAACATGTGGAAGAAGGGGCTCTGGTCAGAGGAGACCAAAATGAGACTTTTTGGCCTAAAAGCAAAATGCTATGTGTGGGGGAAAACTAACACCGCACATCACCCTGAACACACCATCCCCACCGTGAAACATGGTGATGGCAGCATCATGATGTGGAGATGCTTTTCTTCAGCAGGGACAGGGAAGCTGGTCAAAGTTGATGGGAAGATGGATGGAGCCAAATACAGGGCAATGGTAGAAAAAAAACATGTTAGAATCTGCAAAAGACTTGAGACGGGGCGGAGGTTCACCTTCCAGCAGGACAACGACCTGAAACATCCAGCCAGAGCTACAATGGAATGGTTCAGATCAAAGCATCTTCATGTGTTAGAATGGCACAGTCACAGTCCAGACCCAAATCCAGTGGAGAATCTGTGGCAAAACTTGAAAATTGCTGTTCCCAGACACTCTCCATCCAATCTGACAGAGCTTGAGCGATTCTGCAAAAAAAGAATGGGCAGAAATGTCCCTTTCTAGATGTGCAAAGAGACATCCCCAAAAAGACTTGCAGCTGGATTTGTAGTGAAAGGTGGTTCTACAAAGTACTGACTCAAGGGGGCTGAATTCAAATGCTGCCACACTTTTCAAATATTTATTCGTAAAAAAAATGTTGAAAACCATTTATCATTTTCCTTCCAATTCACAATTAGGTGCCACTTTGTGTTGCTCTATCACAGGGGTCTCCAAACTCTCTGGACAAAGGGCCAGTTTCCATCCTTCAGACTGTAGGGTGAGCCGGACTGTGGCCATGGCGGTAGAAAAGGTCCCGATGTCAAGGGGGAAAAAAACAATGCCCCAATCTTTGGTGTCAGTGGAATTGTGCCCCATTGTTGGTGTCAGTGGGAGGAATTGTGACCCATTGTTGGTGTCATTGGGAGAAATTGTGCCCCATCATTGGTGTCATTTGAAAGAATTGTGCCCCATCATTGGTGTCAGTAGGGAGAATTATGCCCCATTGTTGTTATCAGAGGATGAAATAGTGCTCCAAGGGCTGGATAAAAGCAAGCAAAGGGCCACATCTGTCCCTCGGTCTGACCGCTCGATTTGGAGACCAACTGGTCTATCACATAAAATACCAATAAAATACATTTACGTTTTTGGTTGTAACATGACAAAATGTGGAAAATTTCAGGCATATGAATACTTTTTCAAGGCACTGTGGCTCGCAACTTCTCATCTTTGGAACCAAATCTGTCTGTTCTTCTGTGGTCCTCAGCTGCTACTCTCTATAAAGTGGAACTTCCCGTAAAGGGGAAGTTCCGCTTTATGTCCTCCTTCCCTCTCCTCTACCACATGTGGCACTGTGACAGACCGCCTGGCACCCTGCCTGGTTGCTTCCGTCAAAGAACTGCTTTCTCACCGCTGGGACACAGGATCAAGGTATTATAGCTGGACATTGCACTTAAGAACTAGATGACACTAGCTTTGGTGCAACTAGAGCTCCTTATTAAACAGAAATACAGGTTTATATACACTTCATAAACAGGGGCAGTCCCCATGTGAACAATACACACAAATATTACATATTGGGATAAACATTCCCCACTGATTAGGTAATGAGATGAAGTGACACAAGATTAATCCCATCATGTAGGAACCTCCAGGAGGACTAGCCAACAGACAGAAACCATAGATGATTAACTCAATTAACAATGCGACAAATACACTGTAAACACATAGTATCTTAACCTCTTCATGCTGGCCAAACACAAATGTGCAGCCTCCCTGTGTCTGGGCCTAGATGCCGAGCGGCCGCACATTTGCGTTCTATTAAAAAAGGACATACGT